AACAAAGCATGTGGTTTTAGAAGGGACATTGGTTTGCTGTGCATCTTCGTTATAACAGTTTAGCGAATCCAACAAGGTGCATGTACTAAAAAATTAGAAACGTAAATGGCAAACAAGTTATGCTGTCCTCGTGAATTGCTGTCTTCGTAGTTCTTTCCACGGCTAGGCCTCCTAACCCATGAGGAAAGAAGTTGTTTATTGCGTGTCACGGGATATGACCGTTATTCAGAGCTTAAAGTTGGTGCCTTTTATGTTCGTTCTCTTCCCTTCAAGTTTATAAACCAATTTTTATGGCATCAAATCACACTTAAATAATCAATACATGACCTTCTTTGTTCAGCGTTTAGAGCTTAATCGGGAAACCCAGGAAAAAGCCGTTGATTTGTGTGAAATAATTTTCGGTTAACGGAATTTTACTCTACTACTACTGTCGCATAAAACCATTTGAGACGGAATCTAAGATTCCCGTTTGAATTTTAGTTTTGTGCTATAATTTTTTGGTTTTTTACAAGAAGACCGTCGTCTTAACGACGACAAGGTGGGGTAAACTTGAAGCAAAGTGAAGGAACACAAATGGCGCCAAATCTAAGCACGTGACTAGTATGAACGTTTTCTGTCCCATAGGTAAGTCAGCCTACGTTAAAGAGAAACCCTCGGATAATAAAAAGAGTATTTTCTAATTTTTTCTAATTTGTGGCATTTTTAATTCTGCTCCATTCTTTCGTTCTCGTGTAAGTGGCCTTAAGCGAGGAATCTGATCATAGCCGGGTTAATGGGATAAATCTTAGACATTGACGAGGAGGTTTTAATGAACTCACATTTTACTTTTTTAAAATTCCATGGTCAAAGCCGATAAGAGCAAAATGGCAAATGCAGATGACGGGCCAATGGGCAAAAATAAACGAGAAAATTTAACAAAGGTAAGGGAGCAGTTGCAAGACATGGATCCAGGGCAAGTCTTACTGAAGATGTCAACAATCTGCAATGAAAAAAACGTCCGCTTAGTTTTTAATGGGCAAGACGAAGAAAAGATACTAATCATCCCTGATCGCTTTGAGAGATGTAATAACTTCGTAACAGCTTTACAAAGAAGTGGTGATAGAGCCTATGACATATTTCGGCAGGCGCTTGAAGAGGTTCATCCACATCTTAGAAATATTCTTCCCGGAGGTGGTGAGTGTACTTGTTAAATTTTAGCGCTGCTTGTAAGATTTGCACAAAGCTGTAAGGATACCAGATGATTTGGGGCAAATTTCCTTGCAACATTCATGTCCACGTAATCTCAGCTTAGTCTACGAAGAAACCTCTGACATGTCTTATGTCGGTGAAAGACCAGTCATAAAATGTAGCCTCAATTTGAAGACACTGGTTTCAAGGAAATTAATTGGAGACTGAGCGAGAAATGGAATCAGGATTTAGGGATATACTCCAATACTTTAAAAAAAGTCAAGGAGAAGAGTGCTTTTTATATTAGCTGTTACCTTGTTATTTCTTTCTGCAAGAGTAGTAGCATTCTTACAGTTTCGTTCATCTTTATCTTTAGGTAGACACTTTTTTGACGAAGTCATTACTTAAAATAGTTCTGCTAAATGATTCAAGAATTGATTTGAACACAGAGAATTACCGTCAAATCTGGCTTTGTTCATATTCTTTTTTAGAGAATCTTGATGAAAGACTACTCTTTTCGTAAGTATCCTTCATGTCTACTCATATCCGAATTTATTTCATAAGGGTTGGTTTGTGAGAGAAAGTATGAAATAGGTCCGCAATGCGCACACGTGTGGCTTATAAAATAATAATAATAAAAATAATAATAATAATAATAAAATAAAAGACCAAGGAACAACATAATTAAAAGGAAAGAGACAATTCTAGATGCTTCAATTGCTGATTAAGAATGGGTTTTTCCCACTTAATATGCAATGCCTCTTTGATCTTAATTTGGTATTTTGAAGCGGCAGAATCTAAGATCGTGAAACATTCAGTATCACAAGAGTCAAGACAGGCCCTTGATGATTGCAGGTGCTTGTAAATATGCGAAGTTTTGTCCGACAAGAGGTGCTCACGAACTCGTGTACAAATGTGGCGAGTGGTCTCACCAATATAACTGACATTACAGCCAGCACATGAAAATTTATATATGACACGCGAACGTAGACCTAGCGGTACTGAATCTTTCACACTGAACATGTTTCTGAGTTTAAACGTACTGAAGACTAACTTAACATCTAAATCAGCTCTACAATAACGTTTGAGTAGTTGTCTTAACTTAGTCTGAGCGATGTTCGAAAACCGACCAACATAGGGAAGTTTATAATAGTGCGCAGAAGGTTTACCGGAGTTAGAAGAGGCGTTCTGCCCAGTAGGAGAAGGATTATTTTTCTTCGCTAGATACCTGTAAATGATCTTGTCTATGACCCAAGATGGAAAACAATTTTTCCGTAGCAAGAAAATAAGTTTCTTGACATCCAGATGAAAACCAACCCAGGAATTATTGATCTTATATGCTCTGTCAATCAATGTTCTGACTAAACCTAAATACCAAGTTAAGATCAAAGAGGCATTGCATATTAAGTGGAAAAAACTCATTCTTAATCAGCAATTGAAGCATCTAGAATTGTCTCTTTCCTTTTAATTATGTTGTTCCTTGGTCTTTTATTTTATTATTATTATTATTATT